CACACACACACACACACACACACACACACACACACGTGCACACACACAAGTCTGAGCCAAATATTCTAAATTTATACCAGAGTGTAATCAAGCTTACAGCAGCTGTTTTTAAGTTCTCAGACATCGTGATCACGACAAAGTTTAGAGATAAAAACTTATTTTTCTGAATGTTTTTGCAATCTAACAGTTTTGGCATCTTCAGCATTATTTTAGCTGTTTTTAGATGGGTGCTGGAACAGTTCTGGTTTTTGTAAATATTTACTGATAGAAATACATTTTGATCTCTATGATTTCTTTAAAAACATTCATTCAGCAACAGATTGTTTTTGTCTTTTTGTGCTTCTTTTTGAATTTAGCTACTGTTCTGTTATCTGATTTAGCTAGCTTCTGGCTATGTTTAGCTAAAGTACTTTTCCTATTTAGCTAGCTTTTGGCTATGTTTAGCTAAAGTACTTATCCGATTTAGCTAGCTTTTGGTTATTTTCAGACAATATTTTTGCTTAACTCAGCCAGGCGTTTTTCTTCTTTTGACTTTTAGCTAAGTGTTTTGCTTGTTTTAGGTTTGAACTCTGTGCTTTGCTTCTTTGCCATTTTACTTAGCATGTTGCTCCTTTTAGCTAGGTAAATAATTTGTTTTACTTCTTTTAACTTTAAGCTAGGTGTTATGCTTCTTTGAACTTTAGCTACCATTTTGCTCCTTTCAGCCAGGAACCTAGTTTCTTTTAGCTAGATGTTCAGCTTTGTTGTGTTTTTAGCTAGATGTTCTGTTTCCTTTGGCTCTTAGCTAGGTGTTCTGCTTCTTTCAACTTTGAGATAGGTGCTTTGCTTTTTGTGAGATTTTAGCTAGCATTTTGCTTCTTTTAGCTAAGTATGTTGCTTTTTTAACAAGTTATATTGCTWTTTAAGCTAGGAGTTAGCTACTTGTTTTGCTRGTTTTAGCTTTGAATTTAGTGTTCTGATTTTGTGAGCATTACCCAAGTGTTTTGCCTTTTCTAAGCTTTTTGTTAGCATTTGTCTTTTTTATTTGGGTAAACTCTTTATTTTTGCTGTTAGCTAATTGTTTTGCTTGTTTTAGCTTTAAGCTAATTAATTTGCTTATTTTAGCTKTTAGCTAATGGTTTTGCTTATKTTAGCTTTAAGTTACTTACTTTGCTTATTTTAGCTTTTRGCTAATTGTTTTACTTGTTTTAGCTTTAAGTTGTACATCTTTTATCTTTTAGCTGGTGTTCTGCTTGTCTTAGGTTTAACAAATCATCTGAAGCTTGTTTTATTTTGAAAATATCTCTTATTTTTTTGTTTTTGTTGCGTGTTGCAGCGTCTGATTGAGACGGCTCCCTGGGGAGACGATCCTGCCACCATCGAGCAGCAGCTGGTGAGCCACCGGAAGTTTCAGAGCTCCATCATCTCGGCRCCGGAGGTGGACCGGGCTCGAGACGAAATGGTGGGTACATACGTTTGGTGTCAAAGTCATCATGAGGAGAAAATCAGATTTCCTGCTAATTACAACGTCAAAAATGAAACGCACCGAATATTTCTTCTWTTTAGTTGAAGATGGGAGACAAAGCGAACGCTAACGCTCTGGGCCAGGCRTGGGACAGCCTTCAGGTGAAAGGGAAAAAAAAAACGCCTGTTTGTGATTTTTCATCAACGTGCTCTTCTTTGTTCATGCTAATCCTTTTTTTTTTTTTTTTTGTTAGCAAATGGCGTGCGACCGGTCCACTCAGCTGCGAGACCTCCAGCATATCCTCGAGGAGATCTCGAATGAGATAATGTGGGTGAACGACAGAGAGGAGGAGGAGCTGATGTTCGACTGGGGGGACAAAAACATCGACCAGTACATCCCCAAGAAGCAGGAGAGCTACTCTGTGAGTAAAACCGGTGGAATGAGGAGCTCTGATCCAATCGCTGAACATCCCCAGATCAGTGACCCTCTCTCTCTCTGACAGAAACTGATGAGAGATCTGGAGGACAAGGAGAAGGAACTGAACAAACTGAAAACCAAAGTGGACATCCTTCTGAAACATAACCACCCGGCCTCTGAAAAAATTGAGGTGTGGACAGATTTCGCCTACGTCTTTACGCATCTCTGCTAATTATTTATTTGTTATAATGCTTCCTTTGGATTTCTGCAGGCTTACAGGGACACTCTGCAGACTCAGTGGAGCTGGCTTCTTCAAATTACAAAGTGCATCGACATACACCTGAAGGAGAACGCGGCTTACAGCCAGGTGACTTTGGCTGTAGCTTTGGCTGCTTCTTTAGACATGGTTAATGTTCCGTATCACAGCTCTGAAGGTCGTGGGAAGCCAATTGTATGTTCTTAGCTAAACAGCTTACTCTGCTATTAGGGTTCATGGATTGGATGATTAAAGTAGGGGTGGAGCCAGAGGGGTGACAWTATGAAGAAAGTAGGGTTCTCTGCAGTCACTAAGTGAGACATTCTTGGGTTTGAGCAGGGTTTGGGAAAACCGTGATCGGCGAAGTTTGAAAAATAGGCAGATGTTCTTAAGCTTGGGCGGAGTTTGGAAAATAGAAAAAGGTTCTTGGGAGTGGGCAGAGTCTGAGAAAAATGTGGTTGGTGGAGTTTGGAAAATAGGCGGAGGTTTTTAGGTTTAGGCAGAGTTTGGGAAAACCGTGATTGGCGAAGTTTGGAAAACAGGCAGATATTCTTAGATTTGGGCAGAGTTTGGGAAAACCATCACTGGCATAGTTTGGAAAATAGGGAGAGTTTCTTAGGTTTAGGCGGAGTTTGGAAAATAGGCAGACGTTCTTAAGTTTGGGTGGGRTTTGGGAAAACCATCATTGGCATAGTTCGGAAAATAGGCAGAGGTGCTTGGGTGTGGGCAGAGTTTGAGAAAAATGTGATTGGTGGGGTTTGGAAAATAGGCGGAGGTTCTTGGGTTTGGGTGGCGTTTGGGAAAMCCGTGATTGGTGAAGTTTGGAAAACAGGCAGATATTCTTAGGTTTGGGTGGAGTTTGGAAAATAGGGAGACGTCCTTTTTGGGTGGAGTGTGGAAAAACGGCGAAGGATCTTGGGTGTGGGTGGAGTTTAGAAACTAGGGAGACATTCTTAGGTGTAGGCGAAGTTTTGGAAAATAGGCAGACATTCTTAGGTTTAGGCAAAGTTTTGGAAAATAGGCAGACATTCTTAGGTTTGGGCAGAGTTTGGGAAAACCATCACTGGCATAGTTGGGAAAATAGGGATAGTTTCTTACGTTTAGGCATAGTTTGGAAAATAGGCAGTCGTTCTTAAGTTTAGGTGGAGTTTGGAAAAACCATCATTGGCATAGTTTGGAAAATAGGCAGAGGTGCTTGGGTGTGGGCAGAGTTTGAGAAAAATGTGATTGGTGGGGTTTGGAAAATAGGCAGAGGTTCTCAGGTTTGGGCGACGTTTCAGAAGACCGTGATCGGCAAAGTTTGGAAAATAGGCAAAGGTTCTTGGATTTCGGCGTAGTTTGSAAAATAGGTTTGTGTTCTTGGGTGTGGGCGGGGTTTGGAAAATAGGCAACGGATCTTGGGTGTGGGCAGAGTTTTGAAAATAGGTAGAGATTCTTGTGTGTGGACAGAGTTTGGCAAAACCGTGAATTGTGGGGGAAGTTAAAAGATGTGATCTTTAGCCATGATTTACTTACAGGAAGTATTGGCCAGTGCTGTTGATGTTTAAGGGTAATTAGTAAAATTATTGTGAATATATAAATATAATTTATTCACTTCAAATTTTGCGTGGCTAGCAACTTCCTGTCTCGAGTTAATACTAATTTTCAAAATTAGCGATGTTTTGAAAGGCGCTCTCTGGCCGTTTAGACCCAGCTGAAACACATCCCGCCAGCCGCCCGGTGTTCATCCAATGGAATCCTCATGGCTCCTTCAAACCCCACCCAAAATAGTCAATCTGACCAATCGTGTCTTTCATAAACTCCTCCCACACACCAAGAACCTCCCACTTAATGGCTGCAGTTACTCCCTTCTCAAATGTTTGACAAGAGGGTTGGGCATTTCAAAGATAGGCAGTTAGAGCAAAAGAGGAATAAATATCTGTCAAGCAGCTGGTGAAGAGGCAACCGATCCATGTGTGAGGAAAACAACCGTTCTAAACCACTGAATTCATATAAAACAACAATCGTGTGTAATGATTCTGGCTTTAAGAAAAAGTTAAGGAAAACTGGGCGACATCTAGTGGCGAGTCTGTAAAATATCAATGACATGGAGCTTGGTCACACACTGCTGTGGGATGGCGTCCTGTTCCTCAACCAGAGTTTGTCGTAAGTCAGTATGGTGGGGTTCGGAAATGAACAGCACGCCTGAAAGGATCCTACAAGTCTTCAATGGAATGAGATCAAGAGTGCAGGCAGGCCGTTCCACCCTCTGCACTCCCAGGCTCTGGAGGTAGTCTAATATGATCTCTGCTCTGTGGCGGTGAATGTTGTCATGTTGGACAGTAGAGTTTGGTCCCAGACTGTAGAGAAATGGGTTTGCTCACAGGTGGCCCGTCGGCACAACCTGGTGTACCAGGACCTCAGTTTCAGAAACGCCTGTGATGATTTTCTTGGGCGAAACCCAAACTCAGCTTTGTTGCTTTACCCACAAAGGATTTTCCTCACAATTTTGGCATAATTGAAGAGTAAATCAACAGGCTTTCCAATGGCTTAACACCAAGAAGTAGTGTTCCAACAAAATAATCCACCAAACATTCAGTACATGTTTTCCATTTTGCTGTTGCTAATCTGGTATTGTTGTTTKTAACAGTTCTTCAAAGAGGTCAACGACACAAACAAGTCTTTGAAAAAAGTACACGAAATTGTATTAAAGAAGTTCAAATGCGACAAGAACACAACGCTTGAGGAACTGAAGGAAAGCCTTAAAGACATGGAGGTAGGAGAACCTTTGTTTTTATTTTATCCGTGAGCAGAATGAAGCCCAACCCATGACTATGAAGTGTCACATCTCATAATTTCATCTTCAGGTGGAAAAGGAGAAGATCCTGGATCACAAGCTGCAGGTGCAACATTTGGTCAACATGTCGAAGAACATCGTGAGGCTGAAACCCAGAAACCCAGAGGAGAAGGCCAACGGCATCATCGTCAAGGCTCTGTGCGACTTCAAACAAGACCAGGTCAGTTTTTAGTTTTAATAATCAGAAACAAATTTACACCTAAATTTGGAATTAACTGAAATAAAAATTAATAAAATACATTCTCGTTGGRCTCTTCAGAAGGTGATCTGTAAAGGCAACGAGGCCATCTTAAAGGACAACAGCCAGCGCAGTAAGTGGCTCGTAGTGGGTCCGGGAGGCATGGATATGTTGGTGCCCTCCGTGTGYCTGATTGTGCCACCCCCTAATCCGCTCAGCGTCAATTTTGCCACCAAGTAAAAAACACAAATATCCTCCTTAATCTTATAATTTTACAAAACAAACCAAGATGAAACTCAAAATGTAAATTTCTCATTAAGGAACGAGATGTATTACGAGTCCATCCTGGCCATCTGGAGTCAGATGTACATCAATATCAAGAGTCTCATTGCCTGGAACTACTGCCTGATGGATATACAATACATCAACTCCCTCACCTTGACCATGGTAAGAAACATCTCTGTAAATGTTTTGAAGCATACAACAGAAGAACTTTACATGCAGGGTGTCCGCTTTTCAAAACAAGAGTTTTAAAAGTTTTTAGTCTTTGAGCCTCAAAAGAATCATAATTTGATTCCTGGCGATGATTTCACCCATCTTGGGTGTTTCGGAAGTCCAATTCAAATATAGGACTACAAAAGAAGAGGTGGTCGTCTGGAAGTAGACATGGACAAACAGGAAGTGACCCCAATAGTTGAACATGCAGGGTAGACCATGACTAGACAGTAACTGGATGTGGAAATATGGTCAGTGTCCTCTAGTTTAAGCCTATAGCAACAGARCTAAAGGATAGTTCAGAAACCCAACCCTAACTATAGAATTTATTAAAAAGTAGACAGGGTATCAGCCACACGAACAGAAACTGGATGTTGGTTATACAAGAGCAGAGCCTGATGACTGTAAGCTCTGCCTTTTTGAAACTCTAGGAACTACAAGTAAACTCGCAGTCTGAAAGTGAAGATGCTCTTTAAGAAAATTAAACTAGTCCACCAGCCCAGCCTGCTGTGACTTTAGGTTTTTGTTCCATTATGTTTTATTTGAGCTTGGATTTGGTCCAACACTGCCTCCTTCTGACAATGTTTTAATTCTGCAGACTCAAGAGACTCAATCAGGCAGTCTACAAAGGTCCAATAATCACAGAACTATAGGTTATTCCTTCTAGCATTTTAAGTGTTAAAGTTTTATTTTTATAAAAATGAGCCTGCACCAGTGCAAACACAGTTTACAGTTTCACAGTTTAGCCTTATGTAACATAGAGGTTTAAGTCAAACTATAGCAAGTACTACTAAAGCTAGTAGTAGTAGTAGTAGTAGTAGTASTASTACTGGTAATAATACTTCTGRTATTAGTKTAGTATATTTATTTGTAGTGCTATTAAAATTAGTGTAAGAGTAGTTAGTGTAAGTAATTGTGCCAATAGTGCTAGTGGCAATACTATTGTCACTGGTATACATATGAACTAAAAGTTCAGCTAATACATATATATGGTGATATAGCTTTAGCGCCCAAGCTAATACAGACAAACTCACAATTTTTTTGTTTTCTTGTTGTAGTAAKGCTGTGCAGGTGAAAGAAAGCAGTCCTGGTGTAGCTCTTTAAAAATCAATTCAAAATTGTCTACGTTTGTGTTTCTAGTTGTCCAAGATGCGTCCCGACGAGTATCGACAAATCCTCAAAAACCTGGAGACTCACTTCGAAGAGTTCAAACAGACCAGTCAAGGATCTCAGATGTTTGGCGTTGATGAGATGAAGAGCATCGAAAACCAGTTTGTCGGAGCACAAGCCCATTATGACAAACTGGTGGTGGAGCTTCCTACGTATGGTCAGTAGATGTTAAATCTGCTACAGGGTCGTAGCTGTTACTTGGGTTTTACCTTCCTTTCCTGTTTCTCCACAGGTTCTTCTCATGAGGAAATTGAAGTAGAGGAAACTATCGACGTAGAACAACAACAACAACAGCAACAACAACAACTGATATATTTGCAGCAACAAGCTGTCGAGCAACAGCCCCAGCAGCACCTRATTATATTACAGCCACCACCTGAGCAACAGCACCTGTTTATATTACAGCAGCAGCAGCAACAAGCTGCTGCAGAAGAAGCCATGAGGCTGAACGAGGTAAGGAGACTGAGAGAGGAAAGGAGGCTGAGAGAGGAAGAGGAAAGGAGGCTGAGAGAGGAAGAGGAAAGGAGGCTGAGAGAGGAAGAGGAAAGGAGGCTAAGAGAGGAAGAAGAAAGAAGGCTGGAAGAGGAAAGGCGGCGAGTGGAGCTTAAAAAACAGGAAATGAAGAAAAAAGAAGCAAAGAAAGARGTGATACTGAAAGAGGTGCCGATCAAGAAAGAAATGATGGTAAACATCAAGACCGAGCAGCGAAGGAAGTCGTCCTCCTCGTCTCTGTCCTCTTCCTCGTCTCATCTCTTGTCAGAGCTTCATACTCTCAGACTGAGGATGGAGGCAGCAGAGGGTACTCTGAGTCAGTACGTTCACATCTGCTTCGGAGACGACGGCGCCCGAGACTGTGGCCTGAAGATCACCCAGCTGGAGGTAAACACAAACTCAGAAAACAAGTCAAAAGCTTTTACGAAAACAACTTTAATTCGGAATATTTTTGTTTCAGTCGGTGCAACGTGACGTCGACTTGATGCGTGTAGATTATCTACATTTAAGGGAGCGCATTTCGAAGGTTTTGGACAGCATGAGCGATTCAGACAAAGCCCAGTTCCTACGCAACGAGATTGGCGTAATCAACCAGAGACTGGGGGGTCTGGAAAGCAGCTCATCGGCTTACGTTCAACGGTATGCAACACAAACACACCAGAAAGGTTTATTTTGGAGTTTTTAACAGGAATTTAAAAATGCCTAACTGGAAAACTGTAGACACACAGTTTGCAGTTGACAGGTAACATTTTCCAAARTAAATACYTTGGGACCATGGTCTGTTCCTTGYGGGACACCTTAAACATYTCAACTACCTTWATTTGGAAGCAAAAAAGCTTCAATATCCTCTGAAACTGACAACAACACTCTTCACCTTTTCGTCATTAATGTTTTTCTATCAGGCTTCGAGCTCTAAGGGACATGCTGGAGAGCATAGCTCGAGCTGAGGACATTGTGAAAGTTCACGAGGCAAGACTGACCGAAAAAGAGACCACTTCTCTGTCTCCAGCTGAAGTCAACGAATACATGGCGACCCTTAAGGTATTCTTCAAATTAAATAGTAGACAATGTTGTAAATCCACTAGAAGATGTCAGCCTTTTATTTTGTTTGTTCATTAAAGCTGTAAGGACTCTGTGCAGTCAATAAGTTGTCTTATTAGAGTTCCCCTTCGTGATTACGYTTCATTATGCGTAGACCATCAAATCAGAGCTGGATCAGAGGAAAGATGTTCTGATCTCCATGGAGTCCGAGCTGTCAAAGGCRAACCACTGGAACAGCCAGGTGGGCGGCTCCACCCACAGGTGTGACTTGATGCTGTCGAAATACACCGAACAGGTGGGCTTGCTGTCCAACCGCTGGAGACGAATCCACGACCAGATCGACACCAGGTACTTCTCTTTCTCTTTTGTAAAACCCTTGATAGAGAATGCCGTTGTGTGAAGTACAAACAACTTAATTATTATTTTTAGACTACAGGACCTGCAGTTGTACGTGCCTCAGCTGCAACATTACAAGCAAACCAGCACCTCGCTCACCGAATGGATCGATAAGACTCGGAAAAAACAGGACACCCTGCAGGCCACCAAGATAGACAATGTCCAAGCTCTGAAAGACCACATTGGCAATCAAAAGGTTCTCTGCTCAGAGTTTAGTTGTGGTTAATAAAATGTATTTCTTTGTGGAGAGTTAGGGTTTGTGTTTGCTTTGTCTCTGACATCCATGTTTTCTTGGTAAATTCAAGGCTCTGAACACCGAAATCAAAGCAAAGAGGGAGACGGTAGAAAGTGTGCTGAGAGACAATGAGACATGCGTAAATGCCATCAAGGTAAGCAGGACCCTGACCCATCACTTAGGTTAACCACTCAGACATAGGCCCAACCCCGACCCATCACTTAGGTTAACCACTCAGACATAGGCCCAATCCCAACCCAGAACCTAAGAATAACCACTCAAAGACAGGCCCAGCCCGGACCCCTGATCAAATTTATCGAAATTGCCAATTTTCTGGTCTCATGGCTTCGTTTCTTGCAGGACTATGAAACCGACCTTGCCTCTTACACCTCTGGCTTAGAAACTTTACTTAACATCCCCATCAAGAGAACGATGCTGAGGTCCCCATCAATGGATCTTAACCAAGAGGTAACATTTTACTTTGGCAGGTTCAAAAGGATTTTYTCTTTTCCACGACTTAAGTGAAACCATGTCTGAATATGTTTTTCCTTCAAGGCTACACTACTGCAGACTCGCTACATGGAGTTGTTCACGCTCTCTGACGACTACTACAAGTTCTTGGGCCAGTTGCTCAAAAACATGGAGGAGCTCAAGGTATAATGTGTAATTTTTTTTAATTTGTTGTGTTTTGATAAAGTATTTCTTGTCTCAATCTGACAGGTGAGTATGAAAGTAAAGATTTATGTTAATGTGTTTAATCGTGTTTCATTGCATTTCATTTTAAGTTAAATTGTTGCTTCCATGTTAATTAAACGTATTCTTAGGGCAGGATGGCTTAAAGGTTAGCAGTGCTGGGGATGGTGCTGCTAATCAGCTAACAGCTAATGGAGGAACAATTTTTTTTTGTTTCATAGCAGATTAGCTTTTCTACTTACTTTGAAAACTGTTAGTGGACCAATTAGCTTCTGCTAAATTGTGTTTTGACAACTTTAAGTCAACTAACAGCTAACTGACAAGCTAACATCAACAGCAATGCCATCTTAGCAATGAGCAATTAGTTGTTAGCTTTAGCTTCTAGCTACTAACTTTTACAGGGTTTTGTGCATATGATTTTATGTTTCTGATGTAAATATAAGATCAGAGCAATTTTTTTTAACTAATCCTTCCTATTGTGTATTTCCCAGCTGCAAAAAAGTAATGCGACCCTGTTGCAATGACCTGTTCTATTCCCCCCATGTTTTTGTCATGTGTATCTTCTTGAATGGGTGTTCTTAACTGCAATTTCATTCTACATTGCATCCCTGATGTTCTATTTGAATGACGAATCTGAATCTGTTTAGCATTTTTGTGTTAGCTTTCATTAAATTTCTTTTACATATTTAGCAGTTTGATGTTAGTGATGCTATATTTTTGTTAGCAGCTAACAAAGCTAACTTTTTGGTTATCTGCACCCACCGTTGGTGGTTAGCGTTGTTGCCTCACAGCAATAAGAGCAAGAAGGTTCTCTTGCTCATCTAGGTTTTCTCCGGATACTCGAGTTTTTCCCACAGTCCAAAAACATGAACGTTAGACGTCCCTTGCAAAAAAAAATGTCTGTGATCTCAGTGGGATTAGTCTGGTTAAATAAACACGAATGAATGAATGAATGAAAGATTCCATTCTCACATGGAATCATTATAAAATTTTAACTTTGAATAAATGTAAAAAAACAAAACAATAATTATTTTTATGGTGTTTACGGAGCCCGCCGGGGGTCAGTGGGAGAAAAAAAAACAGCCGCTGGAAATGCGTGTGCACGGATTACTAAACTGAGCGAACAGATTACTAAACTGTGCGAACGGATTACTAAACTGTGCGAACGGATTACTAAACTGTGCGAACGGATTACTAAACTGTGCGAACGGATTACTAAAC